CGGGAGGGCAGGGCGGGCCGGGCCGGGGCAGCTCCGCTTTCCTTAACGCGGCACATCTCATCCGCTCCATCAACGACCCCGAGCACCCGCTCACCCTGGAGGAGCTCAACGTCGTTGAGCAAATGCGAGTGAAAGTGAGAACCTGCAGAGATGTACTAATCGTGCTGTGCTCCTCTCTGCGCTTCTCTGCTCTGTGCTCTGCTCTTCTCTGCTCTGCTGTGCTCCTCTGCTCTTTCTGCACTTCTCTGCTCTGTGCTCTGCTGTGCTGCAGGGCAGTACTGCCTCAGCCATCCGATTAGCTACTTAATTCTTTCTAACATTAAGCTATGTTTATCGTAGCAGTCTACTGCAGCTAAACATAGTATTTCAAAGCATCCACAAACAAATCTGTGAGCAACAGGGTAGAGCATCAAGCTGCATGGCACACATGGTTTGGGGTGCTGCCTTCACCCCAAACCACCTCCCAGCAGGTGTTTGGTTTGCACAGGTGAACGACGCAGAGAGCACCGTGTCGGTGGAGTTCACGCCCACCATTCCACACTGCAGCATGGCCACCTTGATTGGCCTCTCCATAAAGGTAAAACTGCTCAGATCTCTGCCTGAGAGATTCAAGGTGAGTAATCAAACCACTCTGGAAAGCAAAAGAGGGGGAATGTGTTTGGGAAAAGAAAAAAAAAAAGCAAGAAAATTAAGCTAACTCATTTACAGGGAACAATATAAATAGAGCTCTGTTCGTTTTCTGGGTGAGGGAGGCTCTCCAGAACAGAGTAGGCAGAGGGCTGAAATACCTGTGCAGAGTGAGGGTTCTGTGGCTCCTGTCACAGGCCGGTGGGGTTGTGAGGGAAGTGACCTGCAGTGCTCTGTGGCACAGGAGGAGGAGAGATTGGTGCCTTCCCCCTTGTCTGATGGAAATGGAGAATATTCTATGATTTTAGACTTCTATTTTATTCTGCTCTATATAGTAACTGATACTGGCAATGTCTTTTCCCCCTCTTTTTGTTACCGTCTTATTTCTATTAAATAGCTTAAGCTTCCAGTGCTTTGTTGACTTGTCCCCTTTTTCTTTTGTGATGCCTTTTAAGCTGGATGTTCACATAACACCAGGAACACATGCTTCTGAGCATGCAGGTAAGGCTTCTAGTGCTCTGTTGTGTGGTCTTTCTTTGGTTTTTAGTCTTGAAATTCAGAGAGGAGTTTGATTCTCTTACCTGCAGAGCAGCTGTTTAGTATCTGGAACTGGCTGTGCATCAGATTTTGGGGGACGTTACAGAGCAGGAACACGTAGTGTCACTGACTGTTCTGTACTGTACTTGACACATCTCCTCAGGCAACCTGTGTTCTCAGTTAATCACTGATTTACCTGCGATGTGGAGGACTCAGGAAATGGGGAGAGGCTGGCAGGATTTCTTGTGTTACAGTGACACACACAGCTCCCAGCTGCTGAATCATGGACACTCTCTGGTTCAACTGGTGACAGGGAAGCTTTGACTTCAGACTGCAGCTCCAGGATGTGCTCAGCATTTGCAGAATTACCGGTTACTTGACTCCCATAGCAACTGATGATCTGTCTCAATATAAAATGCTTTGATAAAGACAGCATGTACCAATGTCCTGACCAGTTTCTTGTGCTTTTGTCTGCACAGTTAACAAACAGCTTGCTGATAAAGAACGTGTAGCAGCTGCTTTGGAAAACTCACACTTGCTGGAAGTGGTGAATCAGTGCTTGTCTGCTCGATCATAACTGCCCCAAGAGGAAATCCTTGGTGTTCTGCTACGTTAAACTCATTTTGTATATAAGTGCTCATGCTACTGTTACACTCATATATCTATGAGCAAAATAAAATGAATTGGATTTTCTTGAGGAAATGGTTCTTTTCTCTTAGAAAAAATACTGTGTGGGGCATTAGCTTACAGACAGCTACAAAAGTATAATGAAAATTGACTTTTTAATTGTAGGAGTCACTGCATAGGTAGGATTTTTCTTTTAAAATATTTGTTTCCCCCTGTTTTTAACTGGCTTCTCACTACCCAAAGTTAGTTCTAAACTGCATTCTAGGAATTGATTTTGCACACTGGACTTCACAAGTACACCAAGACAATAAGCAGTTAAAATCTTTACATTCATGTGGCTGTTTTGGACTGCTAAAATAATTGTAGCTTCAGACATAAAAAATTGTGTAAGTTGGTGTGTGTGAAGTTGTAGCACATTTTAGCAGTAAGCGTAAACACTTGTAAACCTTCTGTCTAGTTTTAATTATATTACCTTGGGTTAGCCAAACATGGAGGGCTCTTTAGACCTGTATAAAACATGATTTAATTACTACTCACTCATGGTAAGGAACACAATATCTTTAAGGCAGGGTTTTTTCTTCATGCACCTGGTGCAATACAGGAGGCATTCGTGGCTCTCAGTATGAACAGCCCAGCAACCCTCTGCCTACAGACTGCCCTGGCAACATTTGCCAGCTAAATGACAAGTTTTGCTGTAAGTATATTGAGATTTCATACTAAAATGCCTATTTTATACCGAATTTAATACAAAAAGCCTATGCTTCTGGCTTGGGAAAGGTGGTGTTCACTAAACTGTTGTGTTGGGCAGACATGGCAATAGAAAAATTCATTTAGAATTAATTTGAGCTTCGTAAAAGATGTCTCTTGTCAAGGACCACATGGAAAAACATCAGCCTGTTAAGAAATCCTGTCAGGTGTTTTGGTGGCTGCACACATACAGTGTTGCCTTCATTGTCATCAGCTATTTAGAGAATAAGGATTATGCTTTCTAAAAACTAGATTGTGCTCACCTGTTTGATGGCAATGCTTTATACTCCAGTAGTAGTTTCTCCTGGAAGGTCTCAGATGCCGTTTAACAACGTTGAAGCTTATGACAGTTGTGTGCAGCACAGCCTAGCAGCTCAGTCTAGCCTGAGTTGATCAGCTAAGGAAGGTCAGGGTGATCCAAGTGTGACATCTAAAGTCACACAGCAAAACAGGATAGAAATAAAGCCAAATCTTCCAGTTTGAAGATGAGCCTCCCTGTTTGCACAGGGCTTCTACAGAAAGCCAACTCTGCAGCAGCCTTAACCTGCTGATTTGGCTTAGCACCCCTTGAGTGGTCAGCGCTTGCTGGGATGTATGAATGAAACTGAAGACAATATTTATGCAATACTCATACTGGGCAAGGAGCAGAATGACCCAGCTTTCCTCTGCCTCTCTTGCTGAATTGCTGAGCTGATTAGTTCTGACATTGCCAAGGTTTGCACCACAAATGGAGCTGCAGCCATGGTGATGCACGCAGCAGCTCACAGGCAGCTCACTCGGGTGCTTCGATTTTGGTTTCTGTTTTTCAGTGGCTTTTTTTAGTAGAAAATTAATTTTGCCCTCCCAAATTTTGGGGAAGAAACGAATGCAAGTATGTGCTGGGGGAAAACAGAAGGATGACTAAGCTGCCAACAGATTGCTTCAACCTGTCTCCAAATAGAGAAAGAATAAGTAAATTAGGCTTTGTTGAAGCTCTCTGTTTGGCTTTCACCACTGCATACTAACACTGTTACATAATTCATTGGGATGTTGGTACTTGCCTCATGGAGCACATTGCACACAGCCACCCTGGGGATGCACTTTGTACCATTTACCTCCTCAGAGAAGCAACACTATGTGGCTAGATGGTTTAAATTTATAGTAGATAGTTGGGGGATGCCTTTTCAGTGAAGGGAACCTGTTGTGGGATATCAACTTGTGCTATTCAGGGATGGAGAGTTCTATTACTTTAGACCTGGCATGTTTGTTTATGTGGATGTTATAAGAGAAACAACAAACCACAGTTACTTTGCTGAAGGTCCCAGGTCCTGTCCAGGCTGCCTCCGCTCTGTACTTGCTGAATGGTAACATATCCCTGGTTCTGGTGAGAATCTCCCAGGTTTGACTGGTCCATAGCTGGCTCCTGCTGCATGGAGATGAAGTGCGAGAAGAAAACACTAACTTGTTACAAATACTTCTTTTCAGACATTTATTTTTCCAAAAAGCTACTCCTAAATGTAGCCTCTGGAATTCTTTGTAGTAGGACACATTCCACGAGAAACTATGACCCTCTGGAGCAGCTGTGTTGAATACAAGGAGCCTCATTCAAGTCCAGGAAAAATACCAGATGCAGACATCTGCTTCACATTCCTGGGATCTCAGCAGAGCCTTCCGGGGTGGCTGGATGGCATTCCCTGCTCCCAGTCTGCAAACAGGAGCTTCCTGGGGCAGCTGGCTGTGCTGTCACTAATGTGTTTGAGCCTGCAGACCAAGACAGCTCCTGCATCTCGTGCTCACCACACTGCACAGGTGTTGGGCTGCCCACACTGTCCTGCTCCCGAGGAGGAAGCAGGATTCTTCCCCACTGCTCCCACGCTGTCCTGGCTGCCTAGTACCAGCAGTCTGAAACTTCTGAATGCTGTGCATCCCCCAGTTTCATGAGTGGCACTCAGCAGCCCTGTATCCAAAGACACAACTGTCTGTGGAAGCACTTCACACTTGCATGGCAGGATTTCTTGTGCCCCTTGGGTGGGGCAGTGTGTGCCACACTGCAAACTGTTAACGAAAGTTTTCAGCATCCTGGCCATGCTAAGGAGTGATGTGTCTATGTCAATAAAGTGGTTTGGTAAAAGTCTCCCTCTAGAGGTTTGGTTTATAAACTATATGTTTTACAATATTTTTTTAATAGCTGTTAAAAGCTTTTCCATTTAGCCTGTCAAGCGGAGAACTAGACCACTTGCCCTTCCATTACAAATTGCACTGTTTGGCATAAATACAGACTGAAGAAGTAGCCAAGTCAACAGATTTCCTAAGCAAAAGAAAAGTTTATAGCAAACTCTTGCCAATGTTACTATGGAAAGGTAAGTATCAGCAAAGAGAACCAAAGCAGGGGAAATTGAGGTGTGTAAGTCTGCTGGTATGTCTCATGACTGTGTGCCAGCAAGGTTTAATAGGAAGCACATAAAACTTTTCATTCCACAAAAGGCTAGAAATACATAACACTTACAAAATGTACAAAGAGCAGAGAGCCCCCAGTTTGTCCAACACACTTCAGTGGTTGCAGAAGACATGCTGTCACACTGACCTTCCATACTTATTATCAATTCATACATTTATTCTGTTAAGTCCTACCTGTAAAGAGCTTTTGCATCCTGTCACAGGGTACCTCCGTTCTTTAACTTTCCTTTGCAGATCAAAGGAGCAGCACTGTCTGCAGTGATAAAATCATCCTGATTGGTTGGATGGATGAAACCCTGCTCTCCCAGCTTTGTTCTACCTGCTCATCAGGGTCACTTGCCAGTTGTCTCATCAGTTTTGTTGCTTTGCAGCATCTGGTTGCAGCATTCACGCCCTTCAGATAGCAAGACTGTCCTCCTTGAAACAGAAGCTAAAACAGTCTCTGGTTCCTGCCATAACTCAGCTCGCAGCACAGGACTGGAGGGAGAGGACAGGGCAGAAGTCAATTTCCAGCAAGTCTGTGGAACAAATATAACATGGGAATGAGGAGCAGCTGCTGCCTGGGACCTTTGGGAAGACATAAGAAGAAAAAGGTGTCAGGAGTGTGCAACACCTTGCTGTGCTGTCACTACCTTTGGTCTGTGGCAGCATGGAGCTTCTACAGAGCTGGAAATAAGTGAGCTCCCAGTACCCTATGCTAGACACCTCCCAGCCCTCTGCTCTCCTTGCTCCCTGCAGGCTGGCTGCCTGAAGGGGAGATTCCCACATGGGGGCTGTAGCCAAAGCATGGCCACAGCTTGGCCCCTCTGCCCTCCCTTGCTGGGCTGTTCGGCATCCCATCAGTGCTCTGGTGCTGCTGCCGGTAGCAAGAAAGCCTTTGCTGTCCTACTGCAGGGAAGTCACAAGCAGCAAGAGACAGGAGGATGAGGAGAACAACTATCTACACTAAATTAGAGCTTTAAGTTGACAGAGGGAGATGCCGAGCAGAAGGACCCGAATGACTGGCAAGTCATCACTGCCAAATGCTGCTGGACTTGATCCTCCCCGTTATTATGATATAACTTTGAGATGATGGTTTATCACAACACTTTTTTATCTAATCTCCCCAAATGAGTTCCATCTGGGCTCCCATCCCAGATGTGCCACACGTGGCTCTGACCAAAACACCTCAGGAGTCTGTCAGGAGCTTGCTTAACCCCGGGATGCCTGGCAGCCTCACTTCTCTGCTTTGCTAATGGGAGAGCTGGCACATGCTCTGTGTAAGGATTATGAGGATATCTAAGCAGCAATACTTCTTATTTCCCCTGCAAAGTGACAAATAAATCATCTCTGTAGTCTGAAATGCTTGCAGAGAAAAACAATAACTGCCGATGGATTCCAATTTGTCCCCTAATAGTTTCAATATAACAACTAGTTTTATGACTGAAAATCAGCAAATTGCTGCTCTAACAATACAGCCAGCTTTAAAAAAATAATTTTTGCGTAGACAGAAAATAACGATTAGGAATGAATCACATAAATTGTTTCTCTTTGAATTGGTACTGACATTTTCATAATGCATTTATACACTGGGTTCTTTGAAACACAAATCAATAACGTAAAGAGTGTCAAATTCTACTTTATTAATGATTTTTACTAATGAAAAAATTGACTAAGAGCCTGAAACAGGAGCTGTTATTTGAGCAACTTCTTCCCCTTCCCACTCACCATACTGGGTCTGATCCTACAAACCCAGAGCTTTGATTGAGTTTATACTCTGGATTATAT